CATATATATATATGATATATATAGTAATAGAAAGGTTATGTCGATGCTAAACCCCAGCTTTGAGGTTTTACGTAAAACAATGGAGGTATTATTACCTCCATGGTAAAACACTATAGAAGACACTATATCGAATTATTGACTGCTCGGGGATAGGACAATTACGTGCTAATGAAAATGATGACGTTACGAATTACTTATAGGCCTATATTAAAAATTATTTAAGAGGCGGTGGCTTAGGAGAAAGTCCACTAACGTCCACACTTTTTATGCATTTTTCTAGACCGTTATATTTAATTGTAGTAAAACGTCTGCAAATATGTGAAAATTGAATTTATTATCCGTATTTCTTTTTGAATGTGATAACCTTTTGGATCCTTTTCATAAACCACAGATCTAAACAATTATTTTTTATTGTAATTTACTTGATCTTTTACCGCAAAAATATTACAATATGTCGTCTTAAATATGTATTGTCCCTTAAAAAATACCAAATAATTATTAAAATTCATTTTTGCCCATTTTGAAGTAACGTACAAATTATCAAACATAGAAATTAGTGTATTTAAAAAAATGTTTACCCATCATTTTACAGAAAAAAGTGACAGTAAACTTCCAGTCACTGGAAGTGTTTTATTACTTTAAATATGATTATCAAGTTTAAAAATCATGGTAAACATATTTTAAATTCAATAATTTCTATGCCCAATTTAACATAGGCCTATATTTGTTTGTTAAATGATTTTGACTTTAATATTAGGAGACTTCGCAGTAACATACAGTCTCCTGATGAAAATAAATGGCCTATAAGCTAAAAGAAAACTATTACATTTGCAAAAAGAATATAACCATCTCGATTATTAAATGTATTGCTTAAATGTTCTATTTTCAAACAGTGATAAAAATAATAGACTCTGAAAGGTAAACTAAACTAATATTTAAACAATAGAGTCGAGTGTAAATTTCTTCGTAAAGTTGTTTATCATTATATTTATTATTACATGATCATTATTACCAAGCATATTTTAATTCGCCTTAATATACTTTTAGAAAATATCAAAGGGCTTTGGAATTTGGAAGCAATGACAGAAATAACTGTTGAGGATATTGAACTCCAATCAAAATGGAGTCGGATCACCCATTTGGATTCATTATTGTTACGTAACGATAGCAGACCTTCAGGGTCAGAAGTATTAAACATCTCAAACTCAAGCTTTACCAATAAAACACTGTTATATGTAATGAAATATGACTCAGAAGAAACTATAGGCAAAGATAATGATGACCAAAATGGACATATGATTCGAATGCTTCGCCAAGAACCGATGTCAGACGTTCGTCCATTTCACGTAAAACCAAAGAGCAAATGGTCGATGTTTGATGAAATTGACAAAATGTAAGTATTTAATTAATTGGTATTTATGGCTTTGGCTTTCTATAAACATGATTATATGATGATATTGATAATAATGATACTACTGCCCCATCAACACCACCAACAGCACTGCCAACACCACTACCATCACCACCACCATCACCACCCTCATAATAATAATAATAATAATAATAATAATAATTATTATTATTATTATTATTATTATTATTATTATTATAACTAAGGTAAAATGTTAATAATAATTATTAGTAACAATAAATGATATAGGCCTATGTAATTATAATTATTGCATATTTCTCTTTCAGATCAGTTAAAACACCGTCTATACCGTTTTTAAAATGTATGATGATCACCACTACAATATTTCTTGTGCTTAAATGGTAGGTGCTCTACTAACTACACTTTTCCACATAATATGTACACTAAGCATTTATATCATATAGGCGCAGCCTATGTACATCGTCGGATATACCGTCTTGTACTGATGCTCAAGAAGAGAGCATGTCACATTGATCTCTGTTTCACTTCTGTGCATATAACATTAGTGTTGTATCGGCATACCATTAGAGTGTGAAATTAAGTACCTCTTAAAATTGGATTTACCCTCCAACAAAAGCCTCAGTGGCTAGTTGGTTAAGGCGTCTACATAAACAGCAGAAGATCCCAGGTTTGAAACATAACCTATAGCTGAGACGGTATTTGTTCACACTCGCAGATTCCTAAAGATAAATTCAGTATTTTCTAAATATATTCAGCGGCAAAACCATTAAAAATTAATTGTTCTTTTACTCGACACGTAACGGTAAACCTATTAAGGGGACGCATGTTTGTCCATGAACTGAGAGAAAGCATATCTTTTAACTCTCTGGCCAACCAGTCTATTAAAGGAACACCTCTATTTAAGGGCATCTTTTTTGGTCCCGAAGTGTTCGTTAAATAGGGTTTCTGCTTTATTAACTTCAGGAAATACAAAACATTTATAGAAAAATCATGAGAATTAATCGAAAGCGAGATAGTCATTTCGTAGTTTCCACAGCACATGTATAATGTCGAAGGTCATAGGCCCTATGTATAAATGAACAAATGAACCGCCGTGATATTGTTATTGAAGATTGATTGCAGTATTCAACTAATACTTACCTAATCATCATCAACTGTTAAGTAATAACAATTTATAAATATCAAAGCCGTTTGAATGTTTGATTATGTGATTTGAACTTTGACATGCCATGTGCATTTGAGACTACGAAAGGGCCTACAGGAGTTTCCTTATTACAATAAGAAGTACCAGCAATAGCATATAATTCCGATTTCGCTAAATGTTCATCTTGTTTGCAGTTAATTAGCAGACTTTACAATTTCCTGTGTTTAAATATAAATTTAAACATAATAAAACTCAGTAAGACGAATTTGTTTAGATACTATGTATCTAACGGACCCTGTTATTTTTCTATGAGTGACTTCAATATTTTCCATACTGCCATTGATTATTAGTACATCGTTTTCTCGATGGTTTAATTACTGTGTATTTCTCATTATCGTTTCAGGTTCGTATTACGAAAGTGGTTGTCAAAGGTGTACGGTGTAAAATCAATTACTAAGTATATGCTGTTGTTCCTGATTATCCACTCCCTGGTATACCTAAGTAACGTCTACTTATGAAAAACGGAATTGTTGACAAGTTAAAAGCACGGAGACGGTATCAGTATTAAGCTTGGTTTCCATACCGATACAATCGCTACACACTATCGCCGAGAGCGTTCGGTGATGCTGATTGGTCGGTCGAATCGGGGAGCCTTCCAGATTGCGTTGAAAAAATTGTAGCGACAGTGTAACGATTTTAAGGAAACTTGGCTTTAAACATAAGGCCTATACTGCCAATCGCGAAATAAGAAAACCTTAAGCTTGAATCTATAAAGTTGATTTGTTATTAAAAAACGATCAAATAAGCTTTTTTTTTTATTGTCAATTTAAACTGACTACCATGAAATTAAGGTTTATTCGAAGAATATATATATATATTTTAAGTTCTAGAAAAAGTTTTTCTTAAATTGAATATCTTTCATTTTTTTACATGATTTGGAAGTACCTCTATAATAACTACATTATCTATAAAATGTTACTTTGAAAATAGTGCAGTCGCCTGGTATTTTGATAACAATATTTTGTTCGGGTTATATAGGTAAACCCAATATGGAAGATTGTTCATATGCCTATTCGAGTACGGTACTGCTTATTATTTATCTATTTGTTTAAATTGTGTTAACGGTGCTACAACGCTAACCTAATATATATAGGTTGTATGCATCTATCTATCTATCTATCTATCTATCTATCTATCTATCTATCTATCTATCTATCTATCTATATATATATATATATATATATATATATATATATGATATTGAAGAAAGTTAGCCGTTAACACTGTTGAATAAATATAATATAAATCATCAAATAAGGTACATATACAGTGTTTAATAAGGACATGATGGAACATCGTAGGCTACCCTGTAGCTTTTCAACGAATAAAGTCCTATGAAAAATCATTGTGTAATAAAATGCCCCCGACGGGATTCGAACCTGCGACCTCTCGCTGACAAGGCAATGTCTCGCTTCAGTACAATTGTGGCTACGTTGGACAATATGAACCGTGACGAAGATGCTGACCTATCAATATCCCAACATATACAACAGCCTCTTGAAACCCCATGTAAGGGGTAGGGCGCAATCTACTTCATACGTTGGTGGGGCAAACAACCACGCCACAATCGTAGGCTACTGACGATGCTACTGGTAGTTAGCAAAACAGTTTAGGCCTATACCAAAAAAAAATTCATAGTGGTTTTACTTAAACGAAATTGTTAAAAAAATTTATAGTATTATTGCTATTTTTATTATTAGGCCTAATTACATTTTATTTAGGCGTAGTATTGATATGATTATAATTAAGCACGGTGACGTTTTAAAAAATGATCTTATCTCTAACAAACGCCAGGCATTTATTCAACAGCAGCGTTAGGCCTCGGGAGAGGAGCTTAATGGAGCGTTTACGGAGATAAAACCACTACAATTTATATTATTTTTGCAATAATTGCGTCATCAGTGCCTTTAATTCATCCAAAAGTTTAGTAATAAAATATTTATTTTTTCCAATGGACTAATTTCATGTCTGCTTATTTATGTTATGTTTAAAGATAGGACTATAGCCCTTTAACTGATACTTGCTTTGCAATGTTTTATGTAACTGATATATACGGTAACTGATACATGTATTTCAAGTATCATTTAACTGCTACAATGAATGATATTTGCAGCGGTACAGCA